GCAATAATTACATGGGTTGAGTTCTTTAAATCTTATAAGAAGAAAACTATGCAATAAAATGACATTAGAACTAGCAACTGCTTGTAAACCTTGTCTTGACTTTAGCTACCCCAGTAAGACCTGCCACACTGTAGTGTCTATAAATGAGGAAATCAGACATCTGGCCTAGTAGAAATCTCTTTACTTAACTGGGCATGTGTGAGGTGAGAGTGGGTTTTATAGCCACTAGATGTGATTAATGTGCCCTTCCAAAAAAACATTGGAGGATAATGATCAGACCACCTGAATATGATTAATTAAATCCTGACTACATTCATTCCTTTTTGCCAAGAGTTTCCTTTATCTGAGGGAAATCACCCTAGAAGCAAAGACCAACATAGGTAAAATTTCTTGGACGAAATAAAAAGCCTCTCTCACCATATTTTAGAGGGAAAGTTTCATTGTAGTGCTGACAATATGATATGAGAGTTGGCCTGAAATCAAGGGCACTGTCTATGCATCACTGTATTTAAACACTTCAACATTGTTTAGCACCTGGTAGATACTTGATAAATATACTCAAGAAAGAACTATATTTCTCCTAACAATCATGCTGGATTTTAATAACACCTTATGCTCTGAATTCTTACATGAAAGCCACAAAATATAAACAAAATGTAGGTATTGCTTATGGTTTCTTTTGAGCTCTTTCCTTAGTTTTGTCTGTATTTTTAAGCTCCTCTCAATCCATCAAAAGTTATCTCTTATACAATTACAGAAAATCATCACCAGCCCCAATCTCTGTTTTCATTCCCAACGAAAGGACTACTTCCCAACCTGAGCATCTTACAGTGAAAACCATCAGCTGTACATTAGTATTTTTATGCAGAACAGTCTTTTTAGTGAACAGCAATTGAATATCAATAAACCCCAATAGAGTATACTAGAGTATATGTTATTTGAAGAAAGTCTTAAATAAAACATGACAAATATTTACTTCAAAACATTGTTATTAAAATTGTGTGAAACGGGAGGTTATAACATACGTGAAACAAGAACAGGATGCTATCAATAGGAAAAATAGAGAAAAGACAGACAGTAGGTTTCACATTTAATTAATAAATATAGGTTTGACACAGCAATGAATAGAAAAGAGAAAAATTTTCATTTTGTTTTGGTTAAAATATTTTATATGTGATTGAGATTGCTCATGAAGAGTATAAACTAGGGGGGAAAAAACGTTCCAAACCAAAGCATAGGATGGAAATATTTCTGAACACTGAGATAAGGAAACGGGACATTCTATTGCATAGAGAAACAAAAAGAAAAAAGAAGAGTGATTACATACAAAACTATAGTGATCATAACCTCATTGGACTTCTCAAGAAAAACACACAAGAAGGTAAATTACGTTAAAGTGACAATTTCAATATTCTCATGAAAAAAATTTTTTTACACCACAATTCTTGAACTTAAGTTCTAGATAGAATAATAGCATTTTGGCTTGAAATGTGCTCCAGGCTCTTTAAGCAGAAAGCAAGATAAAAACATTTTCCTTCTTAGAAGGACTAACCAATAAAGAAACAGGGGACAGAAGATGGTGGATACAACATCAAATAAAAGGAAGACAAAATCAGAATGAAATGTTTGGAACAGACCTAAATAGTGTGCAGACCAGTGGAGATTTGAAACCTCCAGGAAGACTATAGAGAGAAGGACATTTAATCACTATAGTGTTAAAAATTAAATTTAGAATATTTTGCCATAGTGATGTCAAGAATTTATGACAGGGTAGACTAACATAATTATGGAAAAACTTGTTGATCATTAATTCAAAAGAACAAATATAGTACAAGAAAAGATAAATGTTATCATAAGAGTATAATATACAGCTTGCAATTCATAATACTTACAAGGTTATAATAACTAAATTCCAAATATTAGTATAACTGATATTTCTATAGTGAGTACACTAAAAAGAGGAGGGGAGACAAACTAAAAACAAGAAAGCAAGAAAGGGAAGAATATGTAAGTGGGCCAAATTATTATTTTGTGAAATAGAAAGTCAATACATATGATTGATAAATTAATAAATAATAGAATAAACATATGTTCATACATAAAGAAATAAATTCCAGAGAAAGCATAAAGTAGACTTGCAGAAATATTCAAAGTTGAAGAGTGAGTGAGGAGTGAGTGAGTGTGTGTGTGTGTGTGTGTGTGTGTGTGTTTGTGTGTATATTGGGAAACCTATGTGATATGATGTTTCTGTATTTCATTATGGTTTGCAATATTTATGATTTATGATAGAAATTTTATGCATACATTCTATTTTCATATTTATTTTGATAAACATTCAAAAATTATTTGGAGAAAATCATGTCATTTTTGGTTATTTTTTGAATAACAGTTAAATTTTGGATAGCAGATATCTGAAATCTATCCAACCTTAGAATTTAATGACATACTAGACTTTCATTTCTCTGCCTTCAGGATCTTGAGGTAAAATTCCTGGGGAGTATTCTTTTTGTGTTGGTATCTAGACTATGCTTCAGATTTTTAGTGTTATTTTAGACTGTGCATAAAATTCTAAGTTTTAGAATTAGTAGTATCCATTTAACTCAATTTTTTATAAATAGAAAATATTGCAAACAACAAGTATAATGAATACTTCATGAAATAAGGTAAACTTTTGAAAATTAGGATATACTGATCATAACTTAGTCAAAAGGGCACTTTAAAAAATAATTAAAAATTTTTATTTAATATTTTTATTTTGACATTTATGTGGTGCTGAGGATCGAACCCAGTGCCTCATGCATGCAAGGCGAGCACTCTACCACCGATCCACAACCCCAGGTCCTAATTTTTTTTTAACTATAACATATGTAAGCTTATTTACTAAAAAACCAAAATGCTTAAAGATTGAAGAAGGTTTTTTTTGGCAATATGTCTCAAAAAGTGACCAATGTATAAGAAAACACCCTTTATTTGTTCTCCTTGCTGTTTGTAAGTGAATTATATTTCTTGCCCAACTAAAAATCTGTATATCATATCTTAAAAATTAAATTTCAAAAGACAGTAAAAAGCCTCTCTCACTACCGAGGGGTTATGGTAACCAAATACTTTCAAGTTGAATCGTAACTACCTGAAAATAATGTTGAGGAGGAGGAGTGTGGAATGTAATCAGGTGTATAGACATTAGTTCAGAAGTGATATATTTAAAAATGATGAAATATAATGAGGTTTATTAGAAATAATGTCCTGGAAGTAAGAGCCCCAGAATGAAATAAAGAAGGCCTCACCATGAGCAGCAAACCATTTATTTCATGTTCTCTGGAAGGAGGGAGTCAGTTTCAGAAAGGGCCTCTCGAACAATCCTCATCCTTGGTTTGGACTGTCTCTTCTGTATTGTGATTTTTCTTCTGAGTTTGGATGTTGTTTTCTTATCAATAATGGAATTTTAGCTTTTGCCTCAACTTAATACTGTACTTATAAGCCCTCAGGTCAGTTGTGACTAGTTTACACCATCACATAAACGTTTCTCAGGTTCCTAAATCAATTCCTCCAGAGGAACTGCCTCTGGACAAATTCAATCTTTTGGGTTGATAGCTATTTTCAAAATAATTTAGAAGTTGCCCCATAACTCTTGACATGTTTAGGGATCTCTTGCAGTTCTCATCATGTCTTTAGGGAAGGTAGGGTAAATATTTCATAATATAGGCACATTATTGGTAAGTCTAATTGCTTGGGTAATGACATTAAACCCTCTTAATTTCCTTCTAAAGGCAGTCAATGCTGCTATAATTCAAAGCTTTTCTATTCCAAAGCTTGTGGTAGTTGCAGAAAAATAGCAGTGAGTGTTTCTTTAAAGAGAAGAGCTATCCTTGTGGGTTTTCAGTGCTAATGTTCAGTGACCACTAATTTCATATCTTATCAGGCAAAACTGTATTTTATTCATTATAGAGCGAAGCACATTTGAAACTCTTACAGAGATGACTGCATAAAATTTAGGGGCAAACTGATACTTGTCTGAGCTCTGCGTGACAGAAATTTACATGCACACTTGGAACAATTTTATTTTTACTATTCAATTCCTTTAATAAATTATGAGGGATTTCCCCTGGCTTTGTCATTTGGGCCTCCAAGCTGCTTACTATCCACAGGGAATATTATCAGAGATTACTCAGTACTCAGAGTGATTGAAAAGAGAGGCCTGCACTCTGGTACATATTCATAAAGCACAACCTTAACTCTTGAACTGTAATAGAAACTGCATTAGGTCTCTTTCCATCATGGTATCCCATTCCACTACAGGATGCTTGTTACATACTGCAAAAGAAGTTTCTCTAGAAACCCCTGTAGGACTTTGATGCTATACTTGTTCATGTCCTAGAGTAACAACCACAAATAGACATCTTACCATGTTGTGCATAAAATCAGGAGGTTCTTTTACTGGCACAGCAAAGTAATTTAAAAATCACAATCTCTTGTGCCTTATAAAAATCACATGGTAGCTGCAAGCAGTGAAAAATTTTATTAAGGGACATTCATAGACATACATATATCTATATGCATGTATGTGCATAAAAGCATATAATCATGTGTGTATACATACCTATACCTGATGTATATGAAAATATATATAATATATGTGTGTGTGTGTATACACACACATATACATATAGCTGCATGTATTCACTAACAAATGAAACAAAGTAGATGAGTAATAAAATGTAGAGGGATGTCATATCTCAAATAGATTTTGAGAAACAACAAATTTTACATTTTGATGAAGGACAAAATCATAAAGCTATATGAATAAAGTAGACAAATTAATATTTCAAAAAAAATTTAGACATCAAAATTTTCACTAGAAAGAAAATTTTAATTGGTTGTTGAGTATCACAAGTGATGAGTAATTGTTCATATATGGCTTGGGATTTAGAGTTAACAAAAATATTTTAAAACCAAGGCAATGTAGAGTATAAATAGCAATTTGGAATTTAAAAGAGTTTTACCAAAGACAGTCAGCTCTGCTGGATCACTGTCTCTTTCTCCCACCATATTGGTACCAACACAGGTGTACATTCCTGCATCACTTTTTCTGGTATTGGAGATCATCAATTTTCCACCACGAATCTGTTAATATCAAACGAAAAATTTTCTTTTAAAAAAGGAAAGGAAAAGAAACAGGAAAGGAAAGAAAAGGACATTAATAATTTGGAATACTTAAGCCCATTTGCTTTCAAAAGAAAAAACTGCATCTAAGACAAAACTCTTACACAAAACTCTCCCACTATTTTGGCATCTGCCCATTCGGCTTCTTAATTCAACTTTAGTATAACTTTCTATATTTCCTTCCTAGAGAATGCATCTTTGAAGCAGTCTTTCTCTGTTTTGCCTGGTCATATTTTGCATCTTGTGACTGTGACTGTCCCCACTAAATCTGCAGGGGTCTTTCTTCACACTGAGTTCAGCTAAATGAATTGCTCTTGTCATCAAAAAATAACATTAGATATCTGTTTTGGATAATATAATAAAACCTAGCTGATTTAAAAGGATGCATCAAGTATTCATTGAGTACTACAAGTACTGGGGAGTGTTCTAGGCATTTGGAATATAACAGTAAGCTAAACAGTCAAAATCTGTTTCTTTGTGAACCTTACATTTCAACTATTAGTGTTAATCATCTTTGGAAATATTTTTTTTGGAAATAATTTTTAACAAAAAGGGTATGTTGAGCAAAAGTAATTAAAACTTATAAAATAATGTGTATGGATTAGTACAAATTATTGATATCTAATAAGTGGTTGCTAAATACTTCTTAAAAGAGAAGCATGTGTTGACCCCAAAAATGCAATAATAATAAAAAGTCTACTAAAGAGAACATTAACTCAAAGTTAGAATTTTAGTAAGTATATTGTCACATTATTTTTTCTCATTTTTCCTTTCTTTGTATGAATATAATTCAACAATCTTAACTTTACATGATTGAGTGTTCTTAAAGGAAATAAAACATTCAAACATTCTGATTTCTTCCATTATTTTTAAATTTTTCATTGGTAAACAAAACTCATTTAGGTTTGTTCATCAGAAATAGTTTAAGCTCCAAAATTTGTCATGTCATAAAGATTTTCAACTTTTTTTTTTTTTTTACACGAGAAGAAAAGCCATCACTCTGTCCTCAATTGTATTGAGTATGTCATAATGGGAGCCTATAAAGCCTTTCTCTTTCCCTTGAAACAGGGCTTGTCAATATGACTATTTCACCAATGGTAATAAAGCAAATGCTTCATCAGAAAAAAAAAGTTGCTTGCACATTGGGTTTGCCTTCTCTGGCTACAACTGGAAACCTAAGACCATGAAACCAGACTAAGGTAGCCTGTTAAAATATGAGAGACCATAAAAAGTGAGGTTCTAGCTGAAAGTCAGCTAATTTCCAGACCTAAGCAAGGTCATCCTAGATTATTCAGCTGCCAGTTCACCTTTAAGCAGGCCAAGGAAGGATACGAAAATCTGGCAGAGATAAATCATGCTGTCTTTGATCAGGAATATCAACTTTTGCATGGAATCATGGTCTAAAAATGGATTTTATAAGTCAAAAATTTCAGGGAGATTTTTTTACAGAGAAAAAGCACATTTTCAAAAGTTTGGTACCCAAATACAGACCATTAAGAACCAAAGTCTCTTTGGCAACATAGATACTCAAGATGTAAACAACAAAATCAGAAATATTCCACTTTATATTTCTGTCTCTTACATGGCCTATCACTTCTGTGCTGCAATGTAATTTCAATGTGTACATACAAGAATAAAAGTATATTTAAAGATAATAAATACATTTTAATTTTTTTATATACTAGGGATTGAACCCAGGAGCACTTAGCCACTGAGCCACATGCCCAAGCCTTTTATCTATCTATCTATCTTTCTATTTATTTATTTATTTTTGTTTTGAGACAGAGTCTCACTAAATTTTTTAGGGCCTCCCTGAGTTTCTAAGGCTGGCTTTGAACTTGAGATCCTTCTTTCTCAGCCTACTGAGCTGCTAGGATTACAGGCATGCACCACCATGCCCAATTATTTATTAATTTATTTATATTGGTTCATTTACTTATTTACCTTGTATTGTGGGGTACTGAACCCATGGGTACTCTACCATCAAACTACACAACCAGACTTCTTTATGGTTTGTTCTGTTTTACTTTTCAAGACAGAGTCTCACTAAGCTACTAAGGTTGGCCTCAAACTTATGATCCTCCTGCCTCAGATTCCTGAGTCACTGGGATTATAGATATATGCCACTGTGCCTTGCAGATTATATAAACTCTTGATTGAAATGTCACATTTCTTCAGGCAATTGAAAAATTATTTTAAATAAAATGCCTTCACTGTGTTATTACTACTAAATATTACTAAATAACATAAGTGGAATTATATTCTATTTCCTTAGAATGGCTGTCACTTATAAATTTTTTCATACAAATATTGAGTGGATCCTTTAAAAATATGAATTATTAAATTTGTATATATTAATTCCCTTTGTTCTGTACCTTTACATAAAAGCATTGAATCTTAATCAACTGTTGAACCTGGTAATCAATTTATATGAACTAAACTGCAAAATCAGTCATTTAATTTTTATTTAACTTACTTATTTTAAATTTGCCTTAAAATTAACTCATTTTAAAAATTTTGCTGTTACAAATATTGAATTTGAAAAACTGGATTAAATGAGATATTCATCACCTCAGATGATTTCCTATTACAATTTTATAAATAGTACAAAATGAGATATTATTCTTAATATATGGTTTATGGCTATTGCTTATTCTAACACCCATGTTAAAACGTAAATGATGAACAGAAGACATTGAAAAGCTAAGACATCAATATCACACTTCAAATATAAATTTACATATTCAGACTGATACGATTATTAATACATCATGTATACTTGATTTCTATAATTTGTATCTTTTTGTAGTCTTATCCCTAAATTTAATTCTTTTAAGACTTTTTGATGTGGCATAAATGTTAGTCAGCATTTGAGTACAATTTTATTAAAAATAAATTTAAAAATACATCCATTTTTAGATGTGAATTTCCATCTGTCTAAGCTGTCATTCTAATTTAACTCACACTTATTCTATCTTCCTTGTCATCAATTCGAACTTTGTCTTTTTTCCAGTAGATGGTGGGTTCTGGGTGTCCCCGGGGAGGTTGGCACTCCAGGATTGCAGGCTCTCCAGCTGCCACTACAACATCTGTGGGGTTTTGCCGGAAGTCATCTCGCAACACTGCAGAGAAACAATTATAGTAAAAGAAAAGTCAATGATAGTAACTTCAGCTTTCACTCACAAAATGTAACTTCAAGTTTTACTTGTTCTAGTTAAAAAAAAAAAAAGAAAGAAAGAAAAAAAATTCTGAATACTTACTGAGAACACAGTCACGCCCATCTTAAAATACTCTAGAGTCTACTTAAATGCTCAAGTTGGGGATGGCTTACTATCTGGTCATGCATCTTTGCTTTAAAATCCAAGCTAAAAATTGAGATGACTGACCCTAAGGACAATTATATGAGAAATATTTATGATAAAGTCTTAAGATTTAATTAAAAAAAGCAAATTATATAAACCTAATGTGGCATGAGTCTAATTTTATAAAGAAAAAAAATTACACACCTATTTAATAGCTATATTAAAGTAAATGTTAAAGATGTTCCAAAATGTGAAGCAATTCGTGTGCAAGTGCTTTGTGAGCATGCGTGTTGTTCTCTGAGGGGAAGTGGAGTGAGACTCTTTGAGAAAGTCCTTTCTCATGACATGAATATGGACAAGGTGCACACTGTTCCCATTACACTTTGGAAGGCAGACCCATTGTTTACCCTTGCAACGCTCTAGCACCCACGTACACAAGGCTCCATTTTCATTCTCTCTGCATCTCCACCTGCCGAGTGACATCTGGGTAGCGTGACATTCAGGGCAAGAGATATCCCTTGTAGCAGTTTTGCCAGTCTGAATTTCCCTCCTTTCATTAAGGAGAACAGCAGGTTGGACCTCCGTTATAACCTCCAAAAATCTGGCATGCCTGGCTGTCCAAATGTCACCTATCTATCAGCCTGTGCTCTTCTGCTGCTGGCAAGATGAAAAGCCTGCAGCAGTGACTTGGCCCTATCAGATTGTAGAAACCTATGTTTATTTGATAAATACAGGCTGGGACTACTTTTGGACCCATTTAAAAAAAAAGTTGAAACAAGCTAATGTACTATATATTCCAACCATCTCCACCTCTCCTAGCTGCCTTCACTTTTCCTGTTCTTTGATATTTCAGTGCCAATTCAGTTTTAAATTATGTAAGGATAAAACATGTTTATATGATGTATCTATGTATACAAGCATGTACTGAGTTTATTGTATATTATTTATACAAAAAGATAAACACATATATACACATATTTATATGTATATATATATATATGTGTGTGTGTGTGTGTGTGTATGTAGATATGTGTGTGTGTATGTGTGTGTGTGTAGTGTCTGAAGTCAGCATCAGGCAACTTGTTATAGCCTGTTATGTAAATTATCTGCTGCAAATGGGGATTAGGTCAAATCAGCCACCTTCCCTGTCCTGTAATGAGACCCTCTTCAGCACTCAGTTTCTTTGTTGTGCCAAGTCTGTAAGTTAATTGCCATCTCCAAATAAATAAAAATCTCCATCCTGAAAATAGCTCCAGAGAGACAACCAAGTGACTTTCAGGGCTTTTCGGTTCTGTCTCATCCAATGTATCCTTTAAAATGGTTTTCTAGCTTAATGAAGTCATGCCCCTTTAGGAGATTAGAGAACATTATTTCCTATTGAAGGAGCACTAAGAAAGAATTCAGCACAAATTGTTCAGCCTCAGCTTATCAACTGATTAATTTACTGCTTTCGCTGCTAAGGAAATATGTTCCATTTTAGTACTGTGAACTGCATATTTTGACTAATGGGCAAGAAAGGTGTGATTGATATGCATAAGTATTTGCTGCTGAATGGGTAGAGGGAAGTGTGCAATTAAGTGTGACATTCGTGCAAGTGGTAAGAAGGGGTTAACAATGTGGTTCCCTCTTGCAGGTATATCCTCCAGGGAGAGCAAGCTGGTGACTAATTTATATTCTAAATACAGAACAGCTGCCTATTTATTCAATGTTAAGAAGTGCAAAAATATGGTAACACAGTGATAGGCCCCCCTACAATATCCGGTACTGGCAACAAATGGTGTTTTGGCAGACCCTCAATCTGTTTGAAAATGACACATCTGGCCAGTTGAAGAGCCTTCTCCTGCACGGGTCTCCCTACAAAGGACATGCCAAAAAGTCTTAGATTAAATGATCCTATGACCATTGCAAATAATTCAAAAGTGTAGTGTTGAACTGATTTCCAACAATCCAAATTAAAAAATAAAATAAAGTAAACCCTTTAACATGGGTAACAAAATGAAGAAAAATATCATAACATACTAGAAGGACTGCTACTCTTAAACAATATAACATGTGTTTATGCATTCGCCAAAAAAAAAAGGAAAAAAAAAAAAAAGGAAAATGACTCCAATTTGCACATGAAGCCAAGAAATCTAACATTGACTGTAATTTTAGGCTTTCAGACTATTCACTCAGAGAGTAGGGTGAGATAATGATATAATTGGTACTGTACCCTCTTCAACTTGTAATATGCTCTTTGCGGTTTGTATATAACTCAGCTAATTCATTTGTGCCTAGTGATACCATTTTATTTTCCCTAAGTTGTCAGGTATATTTTATTTCTTCTTTCTGGATCAAATGCCATTTTTCAAGTGAATACTGAAGTGACAGGATATCACTACTGAGATTCAATTATAAATGATTGTGACTTTCCTCTTTCTAGCTCTGTCTCTTTATCTCTCTATTTTCTCCCCGATGCCTCCTCTGATCTTATACAGTGTCATGTGGCCCAATGGAGAGACACATTTGGAAAGGATCCCAGGGCAGCCTCTAGCCAACAGCCAGCAAGAAACTGAGATCCTCAGTCTGGCATCCCCTGAAACCTCAAGTTGACACCAAGTGTTGTGGAAATTTAGAGAAGTCAATAGAAAACTAATATGCTACAAAATAATGATACCCTAAAATAATAATCAAAAAAAATAAAAATGATACCCTAAATAATTCTTTATGTCTACCATGATTTTCAGTCTTACACCTCTGACTCTTATATCCTTACAACTCACATTCTTTCACTCACAAAGGCTTCCTCTGTCTTGAATCAAGACTTCCCTGGCTTTTATTTTTTAACCTCAGTTAAGGTAAATCATTACTCAGACATTTCCTCCTTAGTTTATTAAAATAAATTGGCAATAATAATAAGGAGAATTATACTAGAGCATACATCGGCTTCCCAGTGAAGTTATTAGAAATACAAAGGGTAAAAATGTAATTGATAAAAGTATTTATACACAACAGGATAAAGAAAACTATTTTAAACAAACTAAATTGGTCATGAGAAAGGTAATCTAAAAAGGTATTATAATGATGAGCCTGACTAGGAGCAGTTAAAAACCAAAGGCCACAGTGAGAACACAAACACTAGTCTCCATGCAAGCAGAATTTGTTTGTGTGCACAAGAGTATGGGAACTCCTGGCCCAGTCACATCCAGATTTCTCTGGAGAACAAAACTTGAGGCCCAGGTATACACTTACCTGGTGCCTGATTCACTTTGTTAATGCAAAATTTCAGTAAATCATGACACTCAGGATACATGGGGATTTCAGTATTACATATAGATAATACATGAAATTATGTGCTGGTTTTTAAGAAGAATTTTTTTTCTTGGTGCTAAGGACAGAAACAAGGGTCTTCCTCTACTATCATTGAACTGTACACCTAGCTCTTAGAATTTTGTGTTTAAGTTAATTTGGTGATCAATTAACAGGCACATCTAAAGACACTTTTGATCTCTATGTTTAAAACAACTGTCCTGCAATTAAAACTAAAATTTGATGGCACATGCTATGTGCCAAACACACCATCATGGATATGAGTAGGTTATTCGAACACTTGTTATACGTAAATATTTTAGGTTGAACCCAGTGTCTAACACTGAATTCTGACGACAATCAGACTAAACTGATTTGTAACATCATCTGCTTCTACTTAATTGTGTCCCCACTGTACTAGTTTAGAATGTTCTTATACCTTCCTTGAATATCCTATTTAACATTTTTTTCTCTAATTCCCTTTTAAATTCTTCATTGAAGCAATTATGGGTTTACTAAAATGAAAATGTAATCATATCAATTCTTTTCTCATACTCCTTAGTGCCTCTTAAGCTAAAATTCTGTCCTTAATATGATTTGATAGGTTGTTTAGAATTGGGTTCCTGTTTATATTATCCTGGTCATTACAGACCTATCTGTGATGTTCATGCAGGAATTATATAGAGAAACAACTAATTATCACTGGCAGATGATAATCTTTCTGCCTGAAAAGATTTCCCTGCTTCCTGTTTGTGCTCCTAATTTTGCTTATTCTTTTCTCAAACATATATTGATCCTTCAGTGTTAGTCTATGACTTATTCATCTGAAAATTTTGTCTTTAAACACTTACACGAAATGAAAGGAACCTTCCAAAAGGCTCCACTTTGAAGGGCAGCAGAAGAGTTAGTGAAGTCCTTTTTCATTGGTTGACCAAATTGATAAACTCCTCTTTAAAAATTATATTGCAGTACTTTCCTATTATTTAATCTAGACCATTATGTTTTGATTTAATTTTAAACTTTCATTCATGAATAACAGTTTCAGTTGGTTGGATTTAAAGGATAGAGCACTTGTCTTGACTACCTTCATGCTCTAAAATAAAAGTCACACAGTTCAAGAAAGTCAGAGAGCCATCTCATAAGGAAACTACAGATTTATGTGAAATCACCAAAACTGGTAGCACAAATTATAATACATAATAGTACATATTATAATAAGCTAAAAGGAACATGTACACATTATTTTCTCATTTCTACCACCACCACTAACAACAACGCTCAGTACAGAGAATGATCAGGTGTAATCCCAACTAGCATAAAGCTCAGACCTTCCATTCTACTTGTGAGGAAAGCACCCTGTCTTTTCTTGAACCATGTGGTCATTTTTGGTTGCCATGCTAGGAGCTCCATTTCAGGATGAAAGGGAGCTTATATACACGACGGCATGAGCTAAAATAATCTGGGTAATACAAATGGACAATTCAATTCTAAAACCTGTGTTAACTTTGGACTTTCTAGTTAGCTTCCCTTTT